AACACATTCGTGACGATATTTAGAACTTTCTTTAGAAGATTGATTTTGGTTTGATATTGACCACCATCACTGTGCTTTACCATTAAACTGAAATGCGCATCCGGTCGCAATCATAAACGTTACGAATCAAAAACAAAATCAACGCAACACTACACAGCAGCATACAGATATTGTGCAGTAAATTAAACGAACCAAGTCAGTTTAACAAAAGCATCCAACGTATAGTAACAACGCTGCCTAACGACAGTAGCTTGGTGAACGTGCGATTCGTTTTTGAGAAGACGATACGACACATCCACACACATCTCGGTGCATAGTCGGAAGAATCTCGTTATCATTTCGTCCGTTTGTAACACACCTTGGTCGTGCATCTGCAGATATCATTGTTATCACATATCATACCATAATATCATAATACACCAAAAGTAAGTTTGAAAACGCCTCTGAAGCTTAACAATGAATAAAAAATTGTAACGATAATGACAAGCACATTGGAAAATTCCTTTTTGCTTAAGCGAAACAAAGAAGTATATGTGCTTTAATAAAGGAAGCGTATCTGAATGATCGTCAAATGCAAATTTCAGTAGAGAATTGTGCTGAGAAACGATGACGAATACATACGACATGAACGATGGTGGCAAGTGCTTGCTGCGGTTCTTTCTGTGCCATCGGAGTGTAGCAGAGTTGGATCCATTCCCTCAGAATCATCTCAACTTTACTCTGCAATTCTGGGATCTGTGTGTCCACTTGACTCTCTTCTCCACGACCACCACCCACACCCGCATTCGCAGCACCCGGATGGAGGCCACTCGATCCAAGCGCACCGAAATTTCCGGCGTGTGTTCGATCAGCTAGACTACTTTGTGGTGGTGCTATTACACTACCAGTTCGAGGCAGACCGCCGACTGGACTTTCCGAGTGCGGAACTGCATTCGACATGGCCGACGGGAAACTGGAACATCTGAGAAATGAAAGTTCGTGATAGTCCTTGACTGTTTCGTTCTATCCAATAACCTCATCAAAAATATTCCTAGNAACAGACAAGTTACCTTTCCATCGTTGGAGTAGGTCGATTCTGACCATATTGCTGAATTTTTGAAAGTTGTTCAAGCGTCATCGGAAGACCTTCGAGAACCTGTTGACGTGCTCCACTGCCACCACTGATACTCAGTTTCACCAAACGCTGAGCGAATAATGTTGCCTGAACGTGTGATAATCGTTTAGTGACGCACAATGAAACGACTACTTTCGAGTGAAATGAACCATCACACTAATGAACACCCGTTCGATTTATGAAATCAATTCTGATCAGTTACGATAAGGAATCAATTTCGGCACAAAAGACCACGTGAGATGCTGACCAAGAAGAAGAAACAAACGAACCTCAAAGTTGTTTCCGCCATCAATGAGCAGTGCAAGATGTTGATCGTAAAGGTTCATTTGTATCAACGCATGCTTCACCATTAAATCGATCGCATCCACATTGAAACGATACTCAAGTCGACAGTCAACGATAACACGCGTTATACGACGTGCTAGATCGGGTAACGAGAACTGCGTTAGTATTATTCGACACACCGATATGAATACGTCCTTCAGTCGACGACTCCATTCCATTTCCATTTGCATTTCTGCAACAATAAATAAACATACTGCACTTTCATTGAACCTCCTCTCGAATTTACGCTCAATTCAACTGTGTTAATAGGTGGATTATCACTTATGAAATCGCTACTATTGCAAAACATCTTTATTGATTAATACTGAAAAGAACACTTCATCAAATTTAACTATTAACAATTTGCAAAGTGCAGTCACTGTTTAAGAGATGAACTGAATAACAAAAGAAAATAACTGACGAATATTGGAATGCTGTTGCGCGAGAGGTATGCCAT